GTATCTCGAAGGAGGGCTGTATTGAACCTTTGTAGTGCTGTTTGTCCACTTGTCCAGTTCTTTTTTAGCTTCAATTTTAAATTGGCTACAACTAGGTGGTGATCTGAAGCTACGTCAGCACCTCTCCTGGTTCTCACATCTTCCATTGTCCTTCGGAATTTTTTGTTGATGCAAATATGATCTATCTGGTTCTCTGTAGTGTGGTCCGGTGAGATCCATGTAGCCTTGTGTATACGCTTGTGTGGAAATATTGTGCCTCCTATGACTAATTTGTTGAATGCACACAAATTTGCAAATCTTTCTCCATTTTCGTTTCTTTCTCCCAGTCCATGTCGTCCCATAATATCTTCATATCCAGTGTTGTCTATTCCGACCTTGGCATTTAGATCTCCCATCAGAATGGTGAGGTCCTTTCTTGAGCATTTCTCTATGATTGACTGCAGCCGCTCGTAGAATTGATCTTTAATGTCGTCGTTGCTATCATTGGTGGGTGCATAACATTGGATAATATTCATTGTGATCCCCTCCTTCTTTGTTTTGAATGATGCTTTGATGATTCTGGATCCGTGAGATTCCCATCCTACAAGTGCATTTCGTGCTACTTTGGACAGCATTAGAGCAACTCCCTGAGTGTGTGAAGCATTTTCCTCTTCGTGGCCGGAGTATAGCAGCATCTCTCCCGTAGCTAGCCTTTTCTGTCCAGCTTGGGTCCAGTGGGTTTCGCTGATTCCCAGTACTGCCAAGTTGTATCTCCTCATTTCCGTTGCTATTTGGCTGGTCTTCCCGGTTTCCCACATTGTTCGAACGTTCCATGTACCTATAAAAAGTTTTGCTTTGGTTGTTAGAAGGGGCATCGGCCTCGTGGCTTCCGAAGGAACTCGGCTTTCACCATGAAGCGTCATAATTCTTCTAAATGAAGACCTTCTAACTCTCAGGGCAGAGTTAAAATGGTTTGAATTATTTTTTCTGGCAAGCGTTTTTTTTAGCGAGTTAGTTTTCTACGGGATGGGGACGCTAACCCCATGCCCAACCCTCCTCCTTTACCCGGGCTTGGGACCGGCAGTAACTCTAGAAGAGCTACAGGCGGAGTTAGCTGTGAATATGGGGGATAAAAATTGATAGACAGGGTAAAACTCAAGAATGATAATAATAGTTCCCAGGTCAAGATAAAGCTGATAATAAGAGCGAAATGAATATGTACAGCTTAGTTATTTAACAATTATACGATAAAAATATGCGTATAGTATAGGGAGAGGTTAAGCATTCACGCGCGAGACCAGAGGCCCTGGGTTCGAGTCCTGTGTGTGTGATTGTGAATAAGCATTATCTAAGAGTCTCAAACTAGGACAAAACGGCCGTTCAGTGCTTTCAGGTTTTCAATAGCGGTTTAGCTTTAATCGACTCACGAATTGAACAATTAAGTTACTACAATCTCCACAAAACCTCTTCGTTATATAAATATAGCAACATGTAGGATAATAAAATCAATTAGATTATTCCTATCAAACTTGTTTTCAACCAAGTATGAAGTGTTATTCGCTTTAGTTTTCAATAAACAATCATACTGTATTTGTTCCATGTACTTTACGTAATAATAGACTTCATCTGTCTATGAGAACTTACCCCTTCGTTGGCTTATCCAAAATGATATAAATGTTCATTTTTATCCAGTTCATTACATGTAGGGTATAATTAAGTGAGAAAATGTAAAATTTCAACTTATGAGATATAATTACTCAACGTTTTAGCATTTATTTACGGGGTGAATCTCTTTAATTTGTAAAAGATTCGAAAATTTTCAAAACTACCATTCATCAGTATATTTTGACAATGTACAGATTGTGTCTTTATGGTGTTATTTATTCAGCTAGAAGTTTGTTCGGATAATGTCGTTCAGAAGAACAATGAAAGCTCCACGACCAAACCATCCAGCACAGAGAACGAAACTCTATCAAAATCATCTATTTGAGCTACACATCTTCAACAACTCAAAATGTTATTTGTTTACATGTTTTATTATAATTTTAATTGTAATTAACAACAGAATGCAAAATGTTAGTTTCTCCCTATTTGGAACTTATCAGATGGCTGTACCTATGACTGATTGATGAACGCATTTATATGTGTTTGTATGCTCATATCTATTAAACAAGTTAATAGGAATTTAAATTAAGTAGATTGATAAGTAACATATTTGCTTTTTAATTGATTGATAGTGAATTCGCATCTTAGTGCAACCATAAATGCTTAAATGCAGCTAAATGCAACTGACGAGCACCAATCAGGACGAAACAGACAGTCTGTATCCAACTAATAGCCACACTTCAAATTGACCGCTTAATATTGATCCATTTTTTGTTGTTAACGTGTAACAGTGTTGAATGATATATTTTAATGGTTTTACACGACATGGTGAAATAAAAAAACCATACAGTAAATCGTTAATTTGCAAAATATTAATGCATCATATCAACCTGAACTGTTTCTGTTGCAAATATCAATCCATTGTCTCAAATTTCATTGTTCATGCGTTTCCTTACAATTTACATTGTGTTTCCACTCTTTCTTTCTTGATTTTCCCCCATCTTCTGCTGCCAGACATTACATTCCTGACTCGCATAATTTACTACTTATACCAATATAAGTAGCACGCACCACACTACTAATAGAAAGGATCCCGATAAAACTGAAGAGTATAATTTTTAATCGTTTCTCATAAATGTAAAGACGAGGCTATAATTTATAGACGAATCAATCAGGTGTAAGATAATAGGTTTTTGGGATTTTGGCGCGAAATTCATTTATACATTCGGCTAAATAGAGTTTTGTCATTATGGCTTATGTCAGTTCGTGATGAAAACCGCAAATTTAATTTCTAACCTTAACCATCAGCTGTAAATCATAATTGTAATTCTTCCCATTGGTTTATGACCCTCATTTGCTCCTAGTTACTAGATGAAGACTCTCAAGGTCACTTAAGCGTCGCTCAAAGGTCGTCCACAATTTATAGTCTCACCAATTAACCATTTACTTGTGAAAAATTTAAAGTTTTCTATATTTAACTGTATTAAATTTACATTTATCTGGTAAAATAATGTCGTCTTCCCTACTGCTGCAAAACTTCAAAGGTAGATTTAATGTAATAATGATGTGAAAAATATTGGTAATCATTTTCATTGCATTCTATTGCATAATAGTAACTCTCGTACTATCAATGTCGATGATGGTTAATTTTCGTTACGCCCTTTTATTAGCTTACTTAATAGACAGTGTTATTTGAACAGTAACAGTTCGTCTGTTTCTTTGTATTATTATGATCACCATCTTGTATGTATAAACGTGTACGCTTGACCACATAACAGCTTAGACACATATCTCTTTAGCCTCTGTATTTGCTCGCACACACACACACACACATTCGCCCTTCTACTTCAAATTCGTTCAATGTGCTTGTAGCTTTGTTATCCGTGCTATTCGCAAATAAACTATAGTTGCTGCTTTTTATTGCCCTCTGATTTAAAACACCATTGGGATTTATATAATAACGGTTATCATGATGATTGATTCACGCTACAATATAAGTAGCCAATAAGTACTATAAAAAAAATAACATAAATTTACAATTCATTGTTTAATTACTTAATGAGTTTGTTTGTTTGTTTTTTGTTGGTCATTTTAAGTTTATATTGTACTACTGTTTTGTTGTTTGCTAGTCTTCTTTTCAATTTAAATACTCATTATATTCAAGTTTGAATAGTCTCGCTTTTCTTTAAATACAAATTACTGTTATTATCATAGAAACTAATTATGATAATAACAGCCCCAATGGGTTGGTGTCTGAAAAAATCTCAGCACGGATTCGAAAAGCTCGTTCGGCTTTTGCCAACATACGTCACCAATGGTGAAAGCGAGATATCCGTTTATCAATTAAGAGACGAGTATACTGCGCGGAAGTTCGTTCTGTTCTACTTTACGGCTGCGAAACATTGCCGTTAAGAGTAGAAGATACTCGTAAACTACTGGTATTTGACCACAGATGCCTTAGAAATATTGCTGACATCTGCTGAGACCACCGGTTAAGTAATAGTGAGGTTAGACACAGGGTATTAGGAAATGATGGTAAATCAGTTGATGAGGTTATGAATCTTCATCGACTGAGAGGGTTGGGCCACGTGTTACGTATGCCTGAACACCGACTACCACGACGTGCAATGCTATTGGAGATGGTTGGAAGAAAGTTAGGGGCGGCCAAATCAGAACGTGGCATCAGTGCTTGAAGTCACTAACTTCTGGTCTGAGCCATGTTGGTAGATGCAGACTACTTGGTTGGGATCGGCGTGACTACCGTACATATTGGTTTGAGACTCTGTGTGACATGGCTCAGAATCGAACACAATGACATTAGTGTATACACTCTGTGTCTTCCCTTAAATTATGAGAATAAGATATTTTAAGGAATAATTAACAATAAGGAATTTATTTTATAGGTATTCAAGTAATTCTCAGTAAATATTAGGTATAGTGTTTTCAATCAAATAATGTTATACTCTATAACTTTTTTTAATTTCTAAATTGTAAACTACAATAACAGAAAATAATGATTTATTAACAGAAGGGGGTTTTGTGGAGATTTATACCACCATGAAGAATCTTGAATCACTGGAAAGACGTTTCGTCACGGTATGGGACTCCTCAGCGGTGCGTATAGATGATTCTGCTCGAGAGATTCGAATTTCGGACCTTCAGTCTCGCTCTAAACCACTGAGCCGTCATCCAATGGTGTCTAATTTCAACTAATCCACGAAACGGCTGTCCAGTGCTTCCAAGTTTTTCATGGTGGTCTAGCTTTAATTAATTCATGAATTCAACTAGTAAATAAAAATAATGATCTAAACACACTGACAATGTTATCTTGTTCATTGTTTTCAAATAATAAACAGTCTTGTTTGAAAATGGAAATTCCTTTCTCATTTAAATGATGAGCAAAAGAAAAACAAAAAATGAATAATATCAGTGAGTGAAAAAATGTCAAGATATTGCGAGATAAAAAAGTGAAGAACATTAAATCAGAATCTAAAAGATAAGTATAGTCACCTGTAGCTTCGTGAAACCTTTGGTTTGTTAACACTAAATTTCTACATGCTCCTTTCAACTAGTTGAGGCATGTTGGTTTACTTCGGTCAGTTGCAATTTTGACGATAAGCGTAGATTATTACGTAATGAATTTATGTAAAAGTTTGCGTAAGAACCTGATGACTGGAGCATGCTTACGAGTCGGAAACAACAATGGAATCCGATAACTGCTAGGAGCTCTTTTAACTCATCTAAGTCACTGACAACAACAAGACCGCTGTGTATGAAACGATCAGTGAAACTGACTGGAAGCCAACCAATAGAATCCACTGACGTCTTGAACGATGAAATTTTTTGATCAACTGCTCAAATAACCTGTTCCCTGGCGATATCGTTCAAATTGTTTTTTCCTACTTCACTAGTGTCGATTTATTCACTTAACGGGGAAGAAATCCTCAAGGAACTTTAATTACTGAAGCGCTGCATATCACTAAACTAATATGACTTACTTTTGACCCATTTTAACGATGCTAGCAACCTTCTGGTTTTGAAACTCAGTTGTTTTTAAACAGTTGACAATCAATGTCATACATAGCATCCTGGAATGAGTCAAGAGATATCCCTGTCTTTAAAAAGGGCTTACGTTACCTATACAACAAGATAAAAATATAAAACAGCCCAATATGAAGTGTACCTTTTTTTCTAAATTTAACAAGATTTATATAGCCATATGGTATGTATTTTTACAAAAATAGATAGTCATTGAAATGCAACATGTCGTAAGTTGATATTAAGTTCTTTTGGCAAATTATCAAGCACAAAGTAAATGGCTTCATTAAATAATGAAAATATAGTTTACTAAGGGTCAATGTGAAGCCTTTTTTTGTTTAGTTTGAAAGTTCCAGTTCTGTATTACAAACTGATATCTGCTAGACAGAATAAGATAAAGATTATGTATGAGGGTTACATATGAATCGCATTTAAACTATGGACGCTTTTTCAGTACTGTTTGGTTTTTAACTGTTGTCCAGTTGATTATGATCAGAAATTCTAGCAATAGTCTGTAATCAATAGAATTCAATCGTGTTGCGATTCAGAGAGATTTTATCGACAAAATATGATGATGATGATGATGATGATGATGATGATGATGATGATGATGATGATGATGATGATGATGATGATGATGATGATGATGATGATGATGATGATGATGATGATGATGATGATGATGATGATGATGATGATGATGATGATGATGATGATGATGATGATGATGATGATGATGATGATGATGATGATGATGATGATGATGATGATGATGATGATGATGATGATGATGATGATGATGATGATGATGATGATGATGATGATGATGATGATGATGATGATGATGATGATGATGATGATGATGATGATGATGATGATGATGATGATGATGATGATGATGATGATGATGATGATGATGATGATGATGATGATGATGATGATGATGATGATGATGAGATGATGATGATGATGATGATGATGATGATGATGATGATGATGATGATGATGATGATGATGATGATGATGATGATGATGATGATGATGATGATGATGATGATGATGATGATGATGATGATGATGATGATGATGATGATGATGATGATGATGATGATGATGATGATGATGATTATGATGATGATGATGATGATGATGATGATGATGATGATGATGATGATGATGATGATGATGATGATGATGATGATGATGATGATGATGATGATGATGATGATGATGATGATGATGATGATGATGATGATGATGATGATGATGATGATGATGATGATGATGATGATGATGATGATGATGATGATGATGATGATGATGATGATGATGATGATGATGATGATGATGATGATGATGATGATGATGATGATGATGATGATGATGATGATGATGATGATGATGATGATGATGATGATGATGATGATGATGATGATGATGATGATGATGATGATGATGATGATGATGATGATGATGATGATGATGATGATGATGATGATGATGATGATGATGATGATGATGATGATGATGATGATGATGATGATGATGATGATGATGATGATGATGATGATGATGATGATGATGATGATGATGATGATGATGATGATGATGATGATGATGATGATGATGATGATGATGATGATGATGATGATGATGATGATGATGATGATGATGATGATGATGATGATGATGATGATGATGATGATGATGATGATGATGATGATGATGATGATGATGATGATGATGATGATGATGATGATGATGATGATGATGATGATGATGATGATGATGATGATGATGATGATGATGATGATGATGATGATGATGATGATGATGATGATGATGATGATGATGATGATGATGATGATGATGATGATGATGATGATGATGATGATGATGATGATGATGATGATGATGATGATGATGATGATGATGATGATGATGATGATGATGATGATGATGATGATGATGATGATGATGATGATGATGATGATGATGATGATGATGATGATGATGATGATGATGATGATGATGATGATGATGATGATGATGATGATGATGATGATGATGATGATGATGATGATGATGATGATGATGATGATGATGATGATGATGATGATGATGATGATGATGATGATGATGATGATGATGATGATGATGATGATGATGATGATGATGATGATGATGATGATGATGATGATGATGATGATGATGATGATGATGATGATGATGATGATGATGATGATGATGATGATGATGATGATGATGATGATGATGATGATTATGATGATGATGATGATGATGATGATGATGATGATGATGATGATGATGATGATGATGATGATGATGATGATGATGATGATGATGATGATGATGATGATGATGATGATGATGATGATGATGATGATGATGATGATGATGATGATGATGATGATGATGATGATGATGATGATGATGATGATGATGATGATGATGATGATGATGATGATGATGATGATGATGATGATGATGATGATGATGATGATGATGATGATGATGATGATGATGATGATGATGATGATGATGATGATGATGATGATGATGATGATGATGATGATGATGATGATGATGATGATGATGATGATGATGATGATGATGATGATGATGATGATGATGATGATGATGATGATGATGATGATGATGATGATGATGATGATGATGATGATGATGATGATGATGATGATGATGATGATGATGATGATGATGATGATGATGATGATGATGATGATGATGATGATGATGATGATGATGATGATGATGATGATGATGATGATGATGATGATGATGATGATGATGATGATGATGATGATGATGATGATGATGATGATGATGATGATGATGATGATGATGATGATGATGATGATGATGATGATGATGATGATGATGATGATGATGATGATGATGATGATGATGATGATGATGATGATGATGATGATGATGATGATGATGATGATGATGATGATGATGATGATGATGATGATGATGATGATGATGATGATGATGATGATGATGATGATGATGATGATGATGATGATGATGATGATGATGATGATGATGATGATGATGATGATGATGATGATGATGATGATGATGATGATGATGATGATGATGATGATGATGATGATGATGATGATGATGATGATGATGATGATGATGATTATGATGATGATGATGATGATGATGATGATGATGATGATGATGATGATGATGATGATGATGATGATGATGATGATGATGATGATGATGATGATGATGATGATGATGATGATGATGATGATGATGATGATGATGATGATGATGATGATGATGATGATGATGATGATGATGATGATGATGATGATGATGATGATGATGATGATGATGATGATGATGATGATGATGATGATGATGATGATGATGACTTGTGAACCGCTGCATTCCAATTTAGTGATTCGCAGATATTATATTTTTATTTGAAATGTTTATCGAAAAAGAAGTCAACTATTATAACAGCATCATAATCTCTCACTAGTAAAGTATGATAATCGTATTTAAATAGACGAAGCTTTCTTAATTTACTTTCGTTTCCCGACAATTCTACGTAAATTAGTAAGATGACGACTATATTTGAAGGTTAAACATCAAACGTCTCTACCCTAAAAATGTACAATTAATCCCTATGCTTACAATGGTTCAAGATTAGGTCACTTCATAAATAAGCCACGTATTATAAACCTTCATCTGTTTAATCCCTCTTTAATTTAATTTGACCACTGTCCCATTTTTTTATTCGTATATTCATCTTTCCTAGTTTACTCGAACATCTTATCATTATTACCGTAACACAAGGTTTCTTATTAAAGATTAAATTACAAAATGGTCATCCAGTGTTTCCAGGTTTTCAATGGTGATCTAACTTAGATCGACTCATCATTTCAAATTAGAAGGTTTTTTGTAGATATTATAGTAATTTCAATGGTTGATATCATGAGTCATTAACACAGTTGAATGCCAACCAGCTCAACGGTCTAGTGGTTAAGTGCTCGCGTGTGAGACTTATAGGTCTTAGGTTGGGATTTCCCAAGGTGGAATCATGAATGCGCTATTCTGGGGAATCCTACAATAAGACGAAACGGCAATCCAATGCTTCTACGATTTCCATAATGATCTATCTTCAATTAACTCATGATCTCAACCATTGAAATAAAAATTATAATTCTAATCCCCCACAATAACTTCTCCTGGAGTCCCTCCGGTGGCTACTGCCGGTCCCAAGCTCCGATAAATGAGGAGGGTTGGACATGGAGTCAGCGACCCCATCCCATAGAAAACTAACTCGCTAAGAAAACGCTAACTAGAAAAAATTATTCGAACCTTTTAAACTCTGCCCTGGGAGTCAGAAGGTCTTCATTTAGAAGAACTATGACGCCTCATGATGACAGCCAAGTTCCTTCGGAAGTCACGAGTCCGATGCCCCTTCTGACAACCAGAGTAATCATTTATTTAAGTACATGGAATACTCGTACAATGTGGGAGACCGGGAGAGTCTTCCAAATCGCTGCAGAAATGAGAAGATACAAGCTAGAGGTATTTGGCATCAGTGAAACACATTGGACGCAAGTTGGACAACAACGACTAGCTTCAGGGGAGGAGGAAAGCACCCAACTGCGTCACGAGACAAGCCCTTACATCGAATCCTCAAGGTCAAGGGACAAAAGGAAGACCAAAGAACACATTACGCCGAGAAATGGAGATAGACATGAGAAAGATGAACAAGAATTGGATGAAACTAGAAAAGAAGGCCCAGGACAGAGTGCGTTGGAGAATGCTGATCAGCTGCCTATACTCCATTTGGAGTAACAGGAGTAAGTGAGTAAGTAAGTAAGTTATCCCCCACAATATTTCATAACCTTCATATGGTCCTATTTATTAGATGAACACTCTCAAAGTCACTTCAATGTTTCTCAAATGTCATCTAGAAATTATAGTCTCACTAAATTTTTTCTTACCCCACTCTATTAAAAACAATTTTTCACTTCTAATGTTATATAATTAAATGAAAAGACAAACAATAAGGTCTGAAACCAGGTTGAAACTATTGATAAACTAATTTCATTATAAATGAAATAGAATTTTTTAATGTTTTCTTTTCTTGTTTATTTTTCTAAATGACAGATGTTTATGGAAATGAACTTATTAATTAAGCATAGTGTTTGGGTTTATTTTGTTTTTCTCTTTTACCTTGGATAATATGTAAACAAAACTATAGAAGAGAAAAATAAGTAATTACTTAGTATTGGTCTAAGTAAAAACTAGGAAAGAAATGATAGATAGTGATTAGCAGTGAAATCCAGTTTGACGCGCGTTTCGTCCTATTCGGGACTCGTCAACTGGATGTAACTGCGCGTCCTGGATTCTACTGTTAGTCACTATCTATCATTGCTTACAAAAAGCTTATGAATTAAGGCAATATCGATGCATACGCACAGTATGCACATATGCCAATAACAGACTGATCAATTGCAGTCTTAAACCTCAATGGAAAGATACAAGCCAAACAATGCCAAGTGAATTCATATTATAATTTGTTTAAATCTATAGAAAATTTATCTGTACATTTAATACTATCTACATCTGATCAGAATAATTATGAATAAATAAAGGATCAAGAATCAAATCAATAGGTGATACAATTAAAATTATGAAGTAAACAATGACAGATTAAAGGTCGATAATAACCAATCAACATCGAGGTCTACAAGACAAGCTGTAAGCTATATGTGGAGAAATTTGAGCACTTCACTTTTACCTAAAATTTGTGCTGATGATGTCGTTCAGAAGAATTATGAAAGCTTCATTACCAAACCATCTAGATCAGAGAACAAAACTCAATAATTCAATGTATTTTCAACTTTATTCTTCTATGAATGCTTTGCATCAGATGTGATTGATCTTGGAGTAAGTCATTCTTTCGATCTGTTTTGAAGTTCTATGCTATATTCAACCCTTAGAAATATTTCTGCTTAACTTACTATAAAGAAGGGCTAAATATTACTAAGATTACCATATATTTATTCTAGTAGTTTGTCGATTCCTACATTTTAGCTATTCTGATAACATTGTACTCTGTTGTATGATACAATGAATTCTATGAGTAAGGTAACAGTTGATTGTAATATGAACATGACAATCAATGATTATTTGAAATCTTGTAAACCAATCTTATCACTTGCGAACTTTATGTGATAAACCTTGAAATAGATACAGTAGAACTGATTGTTAGAAAGAAAGGGACAGACATTCTACGATATCTTATCTAAAACACTGCTTGAGTAACCGCTGTAGGAAAAGAGAACAAAAATCATTCTTTGAATCAATAGAACATACATTTTACTTAATGTGAGAATGTTGAAGATACTATACACTCTGAGCTGAATGATTTGGTTATGAAACTTTGGTAGTTCTTCTGAAGAGCATCGTCAGCATTTACTTTAAGGTGAAACCTTTTTTGAACTTATTGGATTTATACATATTAGAAAACCGAATTCGTCTAACGACTTTGAGCATAAAACATTCAGATAGCTCAATTCTATAGGAATTTTGTTTTGATAATATTGACCAAGAGAGACCGGTCAAGGACAAAGAAGGAAAGAAAATCACGGAGATTCAAAAACAGAGGAACAGATAGGTAGAGTATATAAGGGAACTTTTGAATAGACCAGCTCCAGTAAATCCACTGCATATCGAAGCAGCACACACAGACGTTCTTATAGATGTCACTCCACCAGGATGTCCATCACACAAATCAACACTGGCAAAGCTGTAGGACCTGACAATATACCAGCCAATGCACTGAAGTCAGATATTGCTTCACCTTCCATTCAAGAAGATTTGCGAGGAGCAGCAAGTGCCGACGGATTGGAAAGAAGCACTCTTCATCAACATACCAAAGAAAGGACATTTAAGCAAATGTGAGAAATACAGAGGCATCATACTACTGTCAGTACAACGAAAAGCTTTCGACAATGTTGTTGAACCGGAGAAAAGACTCGAGGGCCGCATTCCTAAAATTGAAGAACATATGAAACTCAACACAACCATCACCCAACATGAAAGTCAGAATCTTCAATACAAATGTCAAGACAGTTATACTGTACACAGCTCAAAATTCGAGCACTACTACAACCATCATCAAGAAGGTACAAGTATTTATCAATAGTTGTCTACGCGAGATACTCACCATTCATTGGACGGATACCATCATCAACATCCTTCTATGGGAGAGAAAAAACCAGGTTCCATCTGAAGAGGAAATTAGAATAAGACATTGGAAGTGGATAGGACATACATTACGGAAATCATTAAACTGCATCACGAGGCAATCCCTAACTTGGAATCCTGAAGGGAAGTCAAAGAACACATCCTGTCGGGAAATAGAAGCAGATATCAACAAATGTATAACTACCGGAAAGGATTGCCCAGGACAGAGTTGGATAGAGAGTGCCATGGTCCTTCACAGGGGATAACAGGCGTAAGTAAGTAAGTAAGTAGTCATGAAGTGACAATTTTCAGTTAAAACAAACCAACATTATTTTAATAACATATTTTCATGTTCAACGGATGAAATATTCAATTCAAAAGTGAATATGTAGTGTATGCTACTGATATAGACAGATATAAGTAGTATGTATTATCAATCAAATGTGAGATGTTTTGTTGTAGAAAGTTAAGAAGATCGAAGGAAAGAGAATGAGAACAGAGAATGATAAGTGTGGGAGCGAAGAAACAATGAAGTATGATATGATTGACTGACATTTTGCAAATGAAGTATTTACTGTATGGTTGTCAGATTTTATTATGAGATTCTGTAATACAATTGGTCGTCTACAGTTGTGTTTTCGTTCACTACATTTGTACTATTTACATTTAGATAAGACAATAACTTGATGATAGAGATGATTATTAGCTGATATTCATAAATATTCTGTCAAATTCAAATCATGTTAATATGAAGGTTGTCATTTTTGGATAATGAATAATTTATTTTTTCCGAATATACTACTTACTATTAAATTGCTTCATTAGCCATATTCTTAGCGTATGCTTTCCAAATTCTAATTAGTTAACCTGATATAATCATTTACTTAATTTATAAATACTCAGTAAATTGAATTGAGTTTAATTGATTTTCAGAACGATTCTCTCTCTTTTAGTCGCTTCCTTCGTTTCGTCCCTCTAATTGTCTATCCAAATCAACGAGTGTAAAAGATATGCGTGTTCAAAATCTATCCACGTATTGGACTTATACAGTTCCGTCATTCACCAACTCCGTTTAAGTCAATGTTTATATATAAGGGCACTTTGTTAATTACGCCTGTTACCCCTCGTCAAGGAACATAGACAGCCCAAAAGCACTCTGCATCTAACA